GCTCTTTAAAAAATTTGCCCATCACTGGTCTGGGGGTATCTCAGCCATTGAGAGCTTGTATTAGGCCTGGGATGGTCCTTGGAATAGCTGGGTAGTGAGGAGTGAAAGTGGGGACTTGATATATCTGTGACAAACTACTCCTAAAAAATTTTTGGTGACATCATCATTTTATAATCTTGCACTGGTGACTTTTAGTGGTTCAAATTAGAAATATCTCAGCATTATTATCAATTACTTTATAATAAATACGTTAGTTTGTTAAAATCTTAAAAATCAGTAAGAAATTACAAGCATTATACATTAATACACTCCAGCAAAAATCTTGTTGTTTAGAATAAAACTATACACACCAAATACTAAAAACTAGTAAAAGGGATAAAAAAAAAAAAAAGAATATTTACTTGTACAAGCATGTTTGTCTGTTTATAATGAACATAATCAGCTAGTCTGTATGGAAAACAGAACAAACAGTCAAATACTGATGTCATATACATCATGTTCCTTTAATTTTAAAACAGAGTAAGAAACAGTCCAACATGGCACTTGCAGCATACTCTTTGGACAGTGATGTGCTGGTCAATTTTGATGAGGTGCATCTGTTTACATCATATGTCAAATCCTTCACATTTGAAATATTTAGAAGCACTTGTAATTTACAAGGCTGTTAGAAACCAAAAGATGGTCAACTTTAAAGAGACAGCTACATTTTCTACAGCATGGAGGGCATGTCTTGAACTCTCCTACTCCTAGGACTTCTGTCTTGTGTTGTGGCTGTATGCCATATTTTATATAACTTTTATTTTAACTTTTGTATAGTTCCCCTTCTTCCTTCCTTCTTCTATTGTCTGTCTCTTCCAGAAAATTCTTTCTCAACCCTTTCTTCTTGGGTGGTGATGACTAATCCTTTGAACAAAAGGGATGAAGGAAGCCCTGAGGGCTAAGTTGGGGAACAATGTTCATTCTTTGCTGGGACATCAAACAGATTGGATGTAAGAAGAATGCTCTCTAGTTTGTTTTTGGCAGCAAATAGAGATGAAAGGAGGTCTAAGCAAGAATCAAGGAAAATTTGGTAAAGAGAAATCATAGAGACTCCCAACCATTATCGAAGAAATTTGGTGAAAACCAGAATTTATCCATCATCCCCAAGAAAGGAAATGATTTGGAATTTTCATCACCCTTAAGATCACCATCGACAATTGGGTACCCACTTTCACCTATTCTTACTTCTATTGCCCTTTTTTGACTACTGATTTCCCTCTTCCCTAGATTTAGTTAGTTGTAAGTGATTAGTTATAGTTCGGGTTATATTTGTTGTAGAAATATTTGGTAATTATTGGTGTCACGAGAGTAGTGTTAATAACTACGTACTCTCTCAACTTTTGTATGGAATATATTATAAACTTGTATACTGGGACTTAGAAGAGCTGGTATTCCAAAGAACTGTTATACTTCATGCGAAATAAAGATATTATTATTTGTTAACGTATCTTTGTAATTCTTATTTTGCACTTACCTTAACAGTGTTCAGTGTTTTTACCCGCATATAGGCAATTCAATCTTAAATTTTCAACTTTTAATTTACCTTGGTAACACTGTACTTCTATGCATGTACCATATACATTTCAAATCTGTATTTAAATCTATTTGACTGCTTGTTCTGTTTTCTTAACAGAATACCTGATGATCATTATAAATGGATGAAAATATTGTATAAGTAAATATTTTTATTTACTGATTTTTGGTATTTGGTGTGTGTAGTTAAAATTTATGATCAGTGAATTTGCTTGATTTTTTTCCTTTACTCAATGTGATTCACATTCAGAGCTGGTTTCATTTGTATCATGTATCATCTGTATCTGCACCACTGTATCATTTTTTGAATATAGACTCATGAAGCTTGTGGAACTTAGTATAATTTTATTGTAATATTGTCACCAGATGTGACTTGTGCATTTGCATAGGACCTTGCACTTAGGAACAAAGGTCAGTGGCGTAGCATAGTGGGGGCGGCGAGTGCAGCCTGCCCCAGGAAGCACTTTTTAGGGGGTGGCAAAATTTCACAATAAATAATAATAATATCTTGTAAAAATTTGAACCATTCTAATCTATATTTGTGTCGCGCCTACGATAGTGCTATCGTCCGGACAGTCCAGGAATCGGCTCACCATCCGGGTGAACTAGTAATTTCATCTGAGGATATCCTGCGCAACCTGTTGACCTTTTTAAACTATAGGGCTATTTTAAGCAGGTCGCTGCACTAGCATGGAATTTTTCATTGCTTGTTCTGTGACAAAACTGAATTTTAGTCTTTTAAATTGAAATACCTAAATAAGGGGGGCAAAATTTTCTTCCACCCAGGCGGCTGACACCCATGCTACGCTACTGACAAAGGTGTCTTGTACAAACAATGTTAAAGGTTCCTGTGCTTGATAAATGCTTAGCTTTAGCGTCTTGAAAAGGTTCTACAAAATATGGATCCAACTCTGTGCATATTATTAGGAATTTATAGTATTGTTGTAAAAAATAGAATCTGATTTAAAGTCAAGTATTTTATTTGAAACTTAGCTATAATTAATATAAATTATATTTACAGCTTATATAGTATATATAAAAAAAATTCAGCAAATGGTTGAGTTACAAAAATAGTATATTTGATTCTTAAACACTATGTAGTGTAATAAATTCAAACACTTGACATTTTATCATCTTTATTTAGTTCAGCAAGATGATAAAATGCCAAGTGTTTGAATTTATTACACTATATAGCATTTAAGAATCAAAGAAGAGTCACAACATGATTTCAGATTATCAAAGAAATAATATAGATTACAGTATGTAATTTTAGTTAAACATATGTTATATTATCACAATAAAAACAATAATTTACATTATTTTTATAGGAAAGATTCTGATCAAATAACATGGAAAATTATTGAAGGAACATCTCCTACAAGTTCAATTCTTGAAGGCTCTGTAAGTAAATTTGAATTTGTATATAAAAATATATACATAAATGTACACGTTACAAAATTTTATTTTAAAGAATGACAAACAATATTTCTTATATTTTTGTTAATTTGATGTGTACCACATTATAAACTTTTCTGTATTTATATGTTGTTAAAATTATAAAAAGATACAATCTTTTTATTTTATTTTATCTTTTTTTTGATGATGAATTAACTTGCTTTATGTACAATTATTTTTTGGAACTTGCAAAATTTTGAATGATGATACTATATTAACTTATAAAACTAATATATAAGGGTTGATTAATAAATAACTGACCAATGACAATGAAACATATTGAATGCATTTTATTTTACATTTAATCACCCTGGTTGTTGAAAATTTGCACCACTCTGTGAACATTATGAACAAAGATTTGATCTACACAGCCAGAGCACTTGGATCATCTTACTGCATGCGACCTGTCATCATGTGACTTTCATGTCTTTGATGAGATAAAGAAAGCACTGAAAGGTAGGGTGCAGCAACTACAGGGCTCATCCGCACTTGGCCACTGTATCATTTTTTGAATATGGACTCATGAAGCTTGTGGAACTTAGTATAATTTTATTGTAATAAAGCAATTTTTTATATTTATTAAGTCTATACTTCCAAATAGAAAGGTGATGAAGACAGTAAGCATTATACTGTTAAGGTACTGTCATTTGTTAGTTGTTATAGTTGCTAATGATATTAGAAAATACTTTTAATGAATAATAGAAATGATGCATAATATACAGAAGTTTGAAAAGCAAGTATCATAAACTACATGCTTAATTATTTTGTTTATTAAAATCTCTTAAAATTATATGAATATTTTAAAATCTTTAAACAAAATCAGATACATAAATGAATTAGTTAGTCTAAGGACCAAAAAATCTTGCCTCACTTGGTCCTTGGAGTAACTAATTGATCTGTGTATCTTGTTTTGGTTACAGATTTTTACATATTCCTCTAATTATCAGAGATTTTAATAAACGAAATAATATCAAATAAAATTGCTGCAAGGTATGCAATAATGTTTGTGTTCTTGAAAACGTCTGTTAGGGATATTTCAGTTATAAATAAAGACAGTCAGATGGTCAAGGCTGTAAATACATCAGGCCACTGTCTAGGACGGGGTCTCCAAACTACGGCCCATGAACGCCACCAATTTGGCCTGCAGTAGCATGCCAGATAAGCCCAATATCTGGCCCGTCATAGTTTATTTTGATTACATTGTAAAATTTGCAATGTAAGTAAATCATACAAAATAATAATCAGACATTTTTATTTAACAACCAATTAAGAAACACACTAAGTGACATACATAGGTAATTCACATAATGAAATTAAACATTATAATTATGATTAATGAGATTTATTTATCTGTAATTTTCTACTGATAATTGCTTGCAGTTGTGGATCAAGTTTACTAGTGGAAATTACAAACAGCGACTTCAAATGTTCATCGGTTATTAACAAAGTTCCAAGGATTAATTTCGTTGATTAAATCAATATTATGACCATACAAATAATTTTGTGTCTATGCAGAATTATTCTTTTTAATTGTCCAACAAGAGACAGATGGTAACAACTTAAAACCGACAAATGACATTAAAAAATACATACAATACAATTGACGCCGATCTTTTCTTAGAGGATCTGACACCAAGAACACAGTATTAAAGTTCTTCACAATACCATTTAGGTAAAAAGCAGTTGTATTTATATCCATCTGTTGACCTCTGGTGGGACTCTAGAACAGCTTCTTAATTTTCATATCTACATTATTAACAAAATTATTTGTATGGCCATAATATTGATACTCATCAGTTAATTTGGATCTATAAATATTTTTTGTATATTTCATTTTGGAATTGCTAACGGAGAAGAGTCCAACCCTGTACCCTGTGCCATAGACATCTCACTCACCAGCTAGTACCAAAATAAAAATTTGTGTGTAATTTAAAACTACAGTATGTTGGTATGATGAGCTAGCTAGATCATGGCCCTTGGGACTTAGTGGAGGAGTCACTGTGGCACAAAGGCCCTTTGGCTAAAAAGTTTGGAGACCCCTGGTCTAGGAGACCCTTGTTTAAATTTGCATTGAGGACATCAGGAAATTTTCACAAGCAGTATGTTCTCAATTTATTGGATCCTGTTATTCACCATCTGGCTACCTCTGATGTGGGTCTGGTTGAATCTACTATGGGTATGATTAAAAAACCCTCCTATTGTCCTCAGAACAGAGAATTAAAAATGTTACAAACTAAAAATACAATAGAACCTGTTTAAGAAGGTCCCATATGAGAGGTTTTCTTGCACAAGAAGTCCAAATTCTCCATTTCTGGCGTTTACACCATAAAATGTGTTAAAATTTCCCACCTAACAAGTTCCTGCATACCAAATTTTTTCATGTAAGAAATTCCAAAATATCAGTTTCATTAACAATATTTACTCAATTAAGATGATTCCAATGGAGACAAATTGTAATCTTTTTTTCTAACCATAGCATCAAAACCATATCTTTCATACTTTTCCAGTGTGTGTTAAGTTAAACAAACAAGCATTAGCATTAGCATTGAAAACTTGAAGCACGTTTATGAATGAACTGAAAATGTTTGTTTATCTTAAGTAAACCCAAGCTAGCAAAGTATGAAAGATATGATTTTGATGTTAGTTGCTCCAGCATTAATACTTTGAATTACTCATTATAACTTTATCACTTACTTTATTAAAACTTTACTTTTCATTCTGATGAAACTGTGTTGTAGTTTCAAAACACTTGGCAGATTATTCATCTCTTTATTCCAACTGAATAAAGAGATGAATAATCTGCCAAGTGTTTTGAAAAAAGTCACTGTAGTGTGTCTGTATAAAACTTTACTATTTTATAACTCTTGATGTTAACCATATTTTATATCAAATACCTGAGATAGTCGCTAATTTAGCTGGGCCTTATTGTTTCAACTATATTCCCTATCTGGTGCTAACTGTTAACTGTTGGTACGTCACATCGACACCGGACACTTAAGCACAAGAAGCATATTATAGAACTTAAGCACCTGCCATAGTCAATGCATCTTATTATTCTACTATGTTACACTATGCTAACATAATAATTGTAAAAAATAAGAATTATTATTTTATAATACATATTTTTAATTAATTAAATACCTTTTAAATATCAATTTATTTTATAAATTATTCAATAGAGTTCTTTAAGTAGCAGCAGTTCTTGTCAAAGTAATCCATCTTCAGAAACAAAGATATATATTCCTGACTGTGAAACATCAGGTTTAGGCTGCAGGTTTGTTACGTCCTTTATTTTAACAAAATAACAGTATTTACCATATTTTTGTCTGTATAACCACAGATTTTCTATGTTTAAAAGATAATCTGACAAGGATACACTTATTTTAAATTGCAATATAAACTTGCACCTATGGAACAGCCATTGTTCCATAGGCATGAGTTATGAGAAGTTTTATTTTTATTACAGAAATTTTCTGTAGGTTATACACATGAAAATACGGTAATGTTTTTGTGCTCCTATGATTTAATTATGGTTATTAATTATGAAAATTTTTTATTTAGTGTTGTAAATGGCCCAGCAGAAATGCCAGGTATTTTTGTTAGTAGTATTAAAGCAAATGGACAAGCTGATCAAGCAGGTTTACAAATCGGAGATCAAATAATTAGTGCAAATGGTATTAATTTTACTAATCATAAATTTGCAGAGGTATGAACAGAATTTATAACTTAATTTTTTTATTTTGATTAAAAGTTTACTTTTACTTAATGTAACACGATAAGAGATTTTTAAAAACATTATAATTTATACATATATCAACCTCACAATGACCTGATGAATTTGGTTCCTAATTCATTGGTCATTGGAAAGTTGATATATATGTATATATATATGGTATATATATGTATACATAGCTGGTATAGCGTCAGTTGTCTGAATGCCATGTTGAGTAGGCTGTGAGTGTTGAATACATCCCTAGGCTATGATTTGGATAACTGTTGGATGATTATGTCTAAAAGTTTAAATGTGTCTGGAAGAAAGGAATCACTTGGAGGTCTGAGTGGTATAATGGTAAGTGGAGGTTGTAGGTTCAACTCCTGCTCTGGGCCAATTTCTTTCTTTCAGACTATTTTAAATTTAAAATTGAATTATAATTTTTACTTTAGTCAAGAGATGGCACCTAACGTCTACCTCTAGTTCTTATCTTGTAATTTAATAATATAATACAGTTGTCCCTCTATAGTCCGACGTTTTTTAATCCGACATGCTCAGTAGTCCAATGCGCCTCCTGTCAAAGTACCTGTCCCCATTACGTGTCTGCTTACACAGAAG